CACGTATACAAGTATACAAAGCATTTATTTATAAACAGAAAAATCGGCGAGTCGTTGGCGTACATACGCTAACATACAATGCGTTCTCGATTTAATACGAGTAATTGTATTAACATATTCTTTCGATTTACCGCTTATAGTGAAGCAATTACCTTTCCACTTTATAGTTTAGCGTATATTATTTCTCCCAAGGCCGTAATTCGAGATTCAATACAAGCTGATATAAGTGAAATTATATAGTTCCATTTGTAAGGTGTTGTTACAATTAGAAATTCTAGCAAGGATATAATATATTAGCTTACAACGACAGGTAAAATAAAAAAATACCTTCGTCCAGTAAATCGAGGAATTTGTATATCAAACAGAAGTTTTAATGTTATACGATTTCTATTTGTTTCTACATTATGGCTTTAATTATAAAGAAGTTCACGCACAATCTTCTTTGTAGTTCTAATTCTAATTGCGTGCAGTAAAGAGTTCGAAGTAAAGTTAATTAATTGAATGTAGTTACCGAATACGGGAATCGAATTATCGTTGACGTTTTGCTTGGAATATACGAAAATATTCCGAGACTTTCATTGTATAACGCGCAGGAAGCGCCGCCGAGCACGATTTGCGTAGCCAAAATAGTGGACAAAAATATTTAATTAGTTAAGAAGCCAAGCCAGTCGGATAGTAGAACGTCTTGCTTTTTCTTTTTATAATAATTACGCGGTTAATGGATGTCCCGGATGCGTTTAACACGGCCGGTCTAGATGGCCGGGCTACCCCCCCACCGACACCGGATTACTTTCAATACGTAAACCTTTAACCTTCGACGGTTTAGACCGGTTGCCACGGAATTTTTAGCCAGTCTACGGCTTCGACTTTGGCAAAAATCTACCCCATTTGGGGTGATAATAATGCCCGTCCCGCCATTTCTTCCCCCGTTTAATACAAAAATAAACGATTCGTTATGTAATGCTCGGAAATTCCCTACGCTAACCGCCGACACCACTAATTAACTTTCTTCATTTTAATTTTAATTCCGTGGTTTCGAAATTGGATTAATGCTTTCCTTATACGCTAAAATTTAATACTCTTGTCTATAATTGTGCGCCAAATTTAATTTAGGGCAGTTACTACCGAAAAATTATTGCCATGACAAGTTACTAATTAAAGGACCGAAGCAGTTTCTTCCATTTAAAAGAATAAGATTCGATAAACACGAGAAGTTTCGACACTTCTCTTCGTTTATTACTTTATACGAGAATTTTAGCATGGAATTTTGCTGGTGCTCAATTTGATAAGGGAGAAACTAAAGTTTCTTCGAGCTTACTAAGCCTATCCTCTGGTAATTTCAACATTCCATTTACAATACGTTATATCCGTACAATTACGTCGATTCCGTAAGACACTGCGAAGATGTAGAGGAATTACGGAAAATTTCATCCAGATAAATGTAACGTATAGTAGAGAATAATTCGAGTGGCTGCTGTTACAAACCTCCGACGTAAGATACTCGGAGTTCACCCGGTGTGACGTAAAGGAAACTTATTACGCGCGACGGAACGAAACGTAAGCATTTGTTTAAATCGTGGTTAAAAGATAAGTTAAGACGAATAATCACTATCGAAATTTGTTTTTGTGACGTCAGAATAGCCGGTTAGGCCTACGAAGGCATTTAAGATGGGAGAGTAGCGCCACGATGCGGGTAAGATTTTCTAATTTGGAAGCCATTAAAGAGGGGCGATGATTAACGACGGAGACGGAAATTTCGTAGCGGTTACGCGACGTCGGGAGCCGTACTCGTCGTCAAAATTACCGGGAATATCCGGGCCGATTAATAATTAAGAACGGGAGACATTAATCAGAGAGAGTTACGACGACCCCGAAAATTCCCACGATTAGCGAAAGGCGCGGGCGTTCTCCCCCGACGAATAATAGTACCACAATTACTTTTGGTTTTTGCCAGAAATCCACCCTTTCGCTTAATGGACCGCGATGGCTTCATTAAGACGGGACCACACAGAGAGTCGCGCCGTTTTATCCTAAATCTTCTACCATGGGGATTTATTCCGTCCGTTCGATTCGGAGTGTTCCGCGGCCAAGATTAGACTGGGTGGTACCCCTGCCGGACCGAGCCCGACCGACGACCACGGTCGATATCGCGTGATTTGCGGGGGTGCCGGGAGGACTCTATAAATTATCGGCGGGTTCTAACGAAACATAGGGCATCGGGCAGATTACACCGGTGCAACGGGCTTCCGTCCGTGCGCGGCTCATCAGGCCAAAGGCGCCGCACGAAACAAAGACACCTCCGCCCTCCGGGACACACTTTGGCGACGAATATTGCCGTCTCGCGGAATAGGAGCCGCGCCGATCCTTTCATTTCTCTTATAAATGAAAGAAAAGAGAGAGAAAAAAAAGAACCCTTTACTGGTTTGGACGCCGTCATTTGGCCGGGCTCCGGGCTACCGGCCATTCTGTTTTTAAACTAATGGAGTGCGGTCGGGGGCAAACCGTCCGAAATTACAGGACTCGGCCACCTCGTCCGAAACTTAATTCCGCGCCGTCGGAATAAAATTCGGCCGGGCAATTCGGCTTTTTTCCAACCACGTGACGCGTCCGACCGAGAGAGGGAGCTCCGAGGGGGGCGTCCTAATTTCCACCGGGACCCGCCATTATCGCCCTACCGGTCGAGCCTCCGGCTCTCTTCTTCCCTGGGAAAGTGACGAGGCGTTGGGACGGCGGCCGCAAGATGCCCGCCCGCGCCCACACGACCCCGCCAAAACATAAATTCCGAGCTGTTAACAGAAACGGGCAAAGCGGGACGAAAAATACTTGGATATTACGTGCTAGTGACGTAGGGACGAAGCCGGACAAAATGGAAATTAATTTGGCATCGGCCATTTTTAATTGGCTAGGAGCCCGAATGCAAACCCGATTGTACTCGAAGCGGGAGTGGATGTGGCTTCATCAATCTAGATTTTCTCCGTCCCGCGGCCAACGTGTTATTAAAAGAAGCTGCGGAGCATCGAAATATAATAATTACGTTCGAATTTTTATATATGGGGGCTCGTCCGCCGCTTTAAATCAAACCGGGAGAGAGTGGAAGGCCAATACGAAAATCGTTTAGAAGAGAACATGAAAGTAATTAGCTTGTCAAGAAGAATTATACATTGTAAAAGTGCACAAAATGTTATTAACACGTGGGGCAACATGGTCTGCTTAAAATTCGATTGTCAGAGCAGGAAAAAAAAAAGAGAGAGAGAAAATAATACCGGAGACCTCATCACCCCGGGAAAGTATGGCCTAGGGACGATTGCGGCCAGGTCCGGGTGAGGCACCTCCGGGCTGCCACCAGTCTTCATATTTCATGCGGAACGAGATAAAATATGGAGAATATCGCCGACCAATCAACGCGCCGCCTTTCGGATAACAATACCGTTCGGTAATAACGGGGTCAAGGTCGAAGTGCCGCGTCGGCCACGCACCGCCAATAAGCGAACCGATGGGAGGGACTAAGCCGCATACCCAAAATTTCACTTTCTACCGCCCGGCTGGCTTCTTTTTTTCCCCTTTCGAATTCCGACGTCATTAACGGCCGTCACGCCCACTCGCATTCTCGCGCCAATTTTCGAAATTATTTTCGGCCTCCGATCGTGGCCCGCCGATTTGTCGTAAAAAGGAACCAAAGATATAAACGTTTACCGTCTCTATATATAGTCTCCGGGCGATCGGTCCCGAGATGTGGCGCGCACAGATATTAAAAGAGGCGGTTTGGCGGGGTCAGAACCTACCACTGGATGCCTTTGTTTTCCCCGTGATTAACTTCGGTATGACATCACAGCTGTGGGAAAACATCAACTCCGCCAACCTCTTGCCCCTGCCTAACACGAGGTCAGCGCACCGTACTCCCAGCCATCCGACTGCCTCCCCCCCTGCGGTAGCACCTGCCTCTCCGACTTGGAAAACGGTTGCAACTGCCAAATGAATAAGAGAACAATACGGGGGCTTTCCCCGTTTATCTCCGGTTTTCGCGTCCCCCCCGTGCAGGGAACCGAATTAGTCACCAGAAGCCACTTTCACCCCCAAAAATTTTAAAGTACGGTACGAGGGAATTCGAAATGCCAGCGGCTGGGGAAATTATCGAAGAAAGACGCGGGGGTCGTGTGGCCGCGATTTATTTTAATAAAGCGTATTTTATTACTCCGATGGCAAAGAAACGGCTTTCGATAGGATATAAAAAAGAGGACTAACGAACGATCTGACAACACCACCCCTCAAAAGAAGTTTACGACGGGATGCTAAACGGTGAATCCGTTCTCGGAGCCTTTCTTTCGAATAAATTAACCTGGAAACGGGAATAAACACGCGAAAACACTGGATGTAATTCGATAGGAAGAACAATTTTAACAATTTCCTCGACTTTTTTTCCTGTCTTGGCTAGAAAAAAAACACCCGAGGAGGAAGGTTAGTGTTTCGAAGAGGAAATTTATGGTTCAAACAAGACACGAGCAGCACACCTCCCGGTCGTCTAAATCAATGGGCTAAATGAGTCCTCCGCGGCTACACGTCAGCGCCAAACTTACGACTCCACTCTCCCGGATAAGATTTCGGGCACAATATTCTGAAGTTGATATGTTGGTTCCTAACTCTCTCTGGCAAAAGTTATGAAGGGTTTCTTTCCCCCTACATCTAAAATACTAACTTGTAAGGCCGACTTGTATTCTTTTCGCCAATCACCACGGTATAGTAAGCGTGTGTACCGCACCATCAATTTTATTCCGTCCATTACGGATCGAGTGGTTCCTTTAAGGATGATTTTTCTGAAAAGTCCATTGCGGATTGCGTGTGGACCGTGTGGCTAGTTAGAAGATAATAGCGAACGACTTCTTTAATCGAACAATTTGTGTACGAGTCCGAAAGTATTCGAACCCGAACCCTCGGAGGCAATAGAATGTCATCGATACAACTGTTGGAAAAGAGTAAACCTTAATAGATTCCATTTCAAACAGGAAAGAAAGGAAGAAGATGCCATTTTCGATCCGGAACGTCAGTCACCAACGCCATCTGTCGAGCGGGGTTAGGTGGACGGAGGTCCATTTAGAAGCGGACGGAGACGACGGTCTGACGGACCACCGAGTTTGGTGGTGGCCGCACTGTCATTTTGGCGGAGGAGGGCCCCGGAATGGCGTGTCGAAAGCCATCAGTAAGGTTTTCCCAGAAAGCCGAGGTGGCCGAAATGTGCGCTATCGGACACGCTAATGTGTTTTCTCGTTCAATTATATTCTCGATCGTCCTTCCTCGGTACAACAGCCCAACCATTGTCAAATGGAATCTCTCTTTTGACTGTAAACACGATAATTTGCCCGCTAACATTAGCGGCGTTTCCAATTACTTTTACTTTATGTAAGGTGGCGCCATCTTTGTGCACGAACTATTATTAACTGGAAATTTGTTAACATTTTTTTCTTTCTTCTTTTTTGCCAAGTCGAAAATTAAACGTTAGATCTAACTAATTCACTCTTTAAAAAGTTCAATACAATAATACCAATACAATCACAAATAAATACACATCCTCCTTTTGCCGCATACTCTCTTTATTAATAAAGAACAGAAGAGCAGTATGACGTAATTAATCCAATTGGTGTCGGACTCACCAATCATTCGATACTTTCTTTAATATCGACTTATTGCGAAATCAGACTAATATGGAAATTTACTTTCGTGCATATTACCTGGTAAAATTTCACATTTTTAGTGCAACCTCAAAGTGATTTTAATTACGCTGCTTTATAATGTTCGACAATGAAAATTCAATTCTTAACCGCTTCAAAATTCGAATTTTTTACCAATCATTTCATTTGCTTCGTGTTAAATTTTAAAGTACGCTCTATTTTCGCATAGAAATTATAATTTAATTAAATAAATTAGTGCCTTTTCTTCGATGCCAACCAACGTAATCGTTCCCACGGATAAAGATTTACCAAGTTCTTTCTCCTAAGATCCAACGGGAATATATAAATCCCGAATGCGAAAAATTCCATGCACCGATATAAAACAGTCGTCTCGAGCCTTCGACATTAAAAAAATTCTCTAGACATTGTCGTGAAATTTCCGATTAGGCTATACGAAAGGTCACTAAGGTACTTTTGAGGAGATTCACATCCGAGGTAAAATATCAGGAGCCTTTGAAATAAGCTAATGGACCGTATAAGGCTAAAATTCATTTTTCCATCGCTCCAACAGAATATTGGTTACAATGAGTTAATAATTAATCCATAGTTTAAAGCTCCAACTTCTGATTACTGATATTTCGACAGTTAGAATCTAATTTATTCGAGTAGAGTTTCGAAGCAGAACACCAGTTTAACCATATTCGTCCTTAAATTAGCCTGCATAAAATAGAAACAATCGATATATAAATCATTACACATTTCTTCTTCCTCGCATTATTATTTATCGTTACTAATGCTTATATTTTGGTTGTATTTCACGTGCAGAAATTCGTCGTGTTCGTAGCCATATGAAACAATATTGTGCAGCATGAACATGGACGGCGCCGGCGGTATATTCGCTATTCGTACTAGACGGGCTGAATTTGCCACTCTTTTATTACGCCTGCTTTTATTTTTGCCACACTTTTTAAATTTTCTTTACCCCATTATTATTAAAATGATTCTCGAGAAGAAAGGCAATAGTTAATGATCACGGTGCTTAGCGGTAAAAGAGGAAAAAACAAACGAAACGACTCTAATGACGGCCGAGTTCAAAATGTTGCAGTTCTAGGGAATATCGTGTTAGAGACAACATTTAAATAATACCACATTAAAGAAAATTTAAAGTTCATTACCGATTTGTCTATTGCTTGCTGGAGTAAATTCCAGTTAAATCATTTTCCCCCTAAGACTTAGAAATCGATTAATGCAAAGGACACTCTAATAATGACTGAAAATTTTTAAGTAAAGAGTAATTAACACCACTTAAGAGTAACAAAAAAAACTAAGTGTTAGGAAAACTTAGTAACAGAAGAATACTTTTCCACAGTCAAATCTTGTCAATATTTTTTTTTTTTCTTCACACTACTGTACCGATTTAATAGATTAACGTATATTTTCCTGAAGTACCTATCTTTAAAGTATTACTAATTTTCTTCCATTTCTTTCATTAAATGTCTCATATAATAAAATATATGTTTGTTCTTGAAGTAACTTTATGTATAAATTTACACGAGATTCCTGATCAGTCGAAAAATAATTCATACAAAAAAAAGAAATGAAGAAAACAAAACAAAATGTAAAAAATCATCAAAAACTAGCTGGAGATACCAGAGACTGTCCCTAAAATTCAGGAACAAATTCCCATTTTATTTAATAAGACAGAAATGTATATAGTTACTGAAAAGTATACATGTTTTATTTTTTAATAACTGTAAAAGTAACTTCAGTAAAAACTCATCACAATTTTTTTAATAGGAAATATTTTAGTCAAATTCTTCACGCAATAGAAAACTGTCAAGAATAATAAAAATACATTTAACATTTGGGGAAAAATTTAATTAACATGAATATTTTTTTGTTTTTTTTTAAATATGATGTCTTCGGATTACTCATCATCTTGTAACATTGAATGAAAGAATTAATTATAAGAATAGTGTCATTATTTAACTTTTAAATCTTTTCGTAGAATTGAAACAAGTTAGCAGTGAAAATTTTAATTCAACAATTTAAAAAATGAAAATTAGCATTCAAGAATGATGCAAACATTATGAATTTAAACAATGTGGCCATCAAACATTTAGTAGAAATGACTGTGCTAGAGTGAGGTCTTATGATCTCCTGCATTAATATATTCCTTCTAGTTTTTACTTGTGGATTACACACAACTTGACAAATTTAGTACAAAAAAATCTTTGTAATTTCTCCTTTAAAATTAGCAAAAGCTTCCAAATTCATGTTGCTTGTCTCTTTTATAACATTTCTTGTAAATTCATTGAGGTCTTAATATTATTTTTCATTTTAAAATAATCAAATTTATATTTTTACACTTATTATGTTTTATTAATTAAATTAAAACATTTAATCTCAAAGATATTCTTACATATTTTATTATAATTCTTATATTATTTTGAATTATTATCTAAATATCTGATATCTCAAAACATATTACAAATTTGCTTAAAACTTTCTCCATAAATATGATATATAATTTCAATTAATTTCAGGTATNAACATATTTCATTAATGAAAATTTAAATTGAGTTCAAAATGCATAAAACAAAATTTCACATAACAGAAATTGATATTTAAGTATTAAGTAAAATTAAAGATTTTGAATAGATTCAAATTTACTTAAATGATAATAAATTACGAGATAAACAATAAAACATTTCATAAATCTAAATTAAAATATCTTTTCCTCTATATAGACAAATATATTAGATGTTGTTTAGGAATAATGACAAATAATCTTGTCTCATCTTTAATTATTATAAAATTATTTTAAAAACTGAATCTTAATTGCTTTCAAACTTCAACCAAAACATCAACATTGTGTTTTATGTTGAATTACTATAAATTCAAAAAAGTTTCTTGTAAATTTAGAAAATATCTCTTCTAAATTAATTCTTTCACATAAAAAATTTTTATATAATAATAATGATTTTCATCAATTAGCAATTATTTATATAATAATTATTCTAATACAAAACTATACTACATTTACTGTAGCTGTGTTCTTTGCATTTTAATCAACAATAATTGGTGAGTGTTACTGTTGATCTCAATGCCGTGGAAAGAAGATATCATTTGACTAGTATGATTGCATTTACAAAAAGATATAATGCAGGTGAATAATGTATATAAAATTCAGGTACAATATATATAAACTGTTTTGCAAAATTTTATCTATATTGAGCATTATCCTGTACAAGAAGAAAACAAAAGGGAATCAAGGGTTCAGGAATAAATCTTCACAAGATCTTGTCTTCATCACCATAGGCTCAAATCCAGAAAAATGAACAGAGTAAGTGACTTAGCCTTGTGTAAAAACTTGATGGATACCCAGCATTAGATAGGTAGTAGCTACTCTGGAAACAATTGAATAATTCTAATTAAACTAATTTTATTGAATCATCAATTATTGAACAATTCTTGTTATTTGTTGAACCAATCCTACTTGCTTGACTTACATATTTCAAATAGGTTTTAATTTGAAAACCTGGCTGTCCCCATTGTGGACCCAGCTAAATCCAAAATGGACATGACTAAAAATAAAGTTCCTCTTAGTTCCCAAAGGGCAGAAAAAATCAAAAAAAGAAGAATTACACTATATTCAGACATAACCATTCATCCATCATCAATAATTGCATGAAAACATCAATTCATTGTCAGTTTTAAAGTGATCACACAGCACTACACAAAACCAACAGAACTAATTAATTAACAAAATATACTAAAAAGTAAAGGTTGTTTTTTAAAATATACATACTGTAATTCAAATTGTGATTTTTTCCACATAATTCAACATAAATGAATCTGTAACTTCTCTTGGTTATAAAACAGGAAGAGATGCAAAAATGCAGTTAAAAAACTGATCATTCAGTGAACACAACTGAAGAAAATCAATAATTCTAGACATTCATGATAGATTATCATAAAAGATGATTAAGATGTAAATGGTGTGCTTGAATAAAACCAAGACTGATAGTGACAAGAATGCCAGAATCTATAAGAATTATCGAGTGGGATGTTTAGTTTACTGCTCATTGGATCCTCCCTTTTGCAAGAATGAATCTGAAAGTATTTATTCTTGAAAAAGGGATTCATTTTGTGTGTTCATACCATTTTGAAAAAATGTCTCCAATACATCTATCTAAATTGCCTCTGATATTCAAACTGCCTTGAATACACTTGATTCTTGTCAGTTTTCTTGAATCCATCGTTTAAAATAAATTTATAGGGGAGGAACCATAGTTAGAATGAATGTTTTCGTTTTAAATAAGAGACAGAAATTAAAGATTTCTGTCTCTTATTAGCTTATACAATCATTTTAGTAACATATAAAGTGAACAATATAACAAGAATCTGTAAGTTCTTGTTTTATTGTTTATTTTATATGCTCCATTAATAAGAGAGTTTTAATTATAATAAAAACTGCTATCATATATTCTAAATATTATCTTCAAACTCACCGCTCGATTTCATTATGTTCCGCAAGGACGTCATGGCTTCCCAGGGTCTCGGCAGATCCAAAAACACCGCATCGGCCTTTTCTAATACGTCGAATCCGTCCGTACAGACGTCGCGTTGAGAAACGGAAATAATTTCCGACAGTCCGTGAGCATCGAATTCTTCCTTTGCCATATTAACACGCTGTTCGTGAAAATCAAACGTGTACAGATGACCATTTGGGGCTATTGTGCGGGCAATGGCATGGGATAGAGATCCACTACCGGTTCCTGAAACATTAGATACATTTTTATAATTTAATGCAATTTCCTTCAAATTTATTACAATAATTCTAATAGATATTACAAATTTTTAAATTAAAAAAATTTTATTATATTAATTAAATTATCTGCCTCATGGTTGTTGATAATTTAATTAATATAATCATGCCAAGGGCTAGAGAAGCAACTTTTGTAATAATTTTATATTTAGAATTAATTTAGAATGAACATATTTCATTAATGAAAATTAAATTGAGTTCAAAATGCATAAAACAAAATTTCACATAACAGAAATTGATATTTAAGTATTAAGTAAAATTAAAGATTTTGAATAGATTCAAATTTACTTAAATGATAATAAATTACGAGATAAACAATAAAACATTTCATAAATCTAAATTATCTTTTCATTATCATTTCATAAATCTAAATTTCATAAATCTTTTCCTCTATATAGACAAATATATTAGATGTTGTTTAGGAATAATGACAAATAATCTTGTCTCATCTTTAATTATTATAAAATTATTTTAAAAACTGAATCTTAATTGCTTTCAAACTTCAACCAAAACATCAACATTGTGTTTTATGTTGAATTAATATAAATTCAAAAAAGTTTCTTGTAAATTTAGAAAATATCTCTTCTAAATTAATTCTTTCACATAAAAGATTTTTATATAATAATAATGATTTTCATCAATTAGCAATTATTTATATAATAATTATTCTAATACAAAACTATATTACATTTACTGTAGCTGTGTTCTTTGCATTTTAATCAACAATAATTGGTGAGTGTTACTGTTCATCTCAATGCCATGGAAAGAAGATATCATTTGACTAGCATGATTGCATTTACAAAAAGATATAATTCAGGTGAATAATGTATATAAAATTCAGGTACAATATATATAAACTGTTTTGCAAAATTTTATCTATATTGAGCATTATCCTGTACAAGAAGAAAACAAAAGGGAATCAAGGGTTCAGGAATAAATCTTCACAAAATCTTGTCTTCATCACCATAGGCTCAAATCCAGAAAAATGAACAGAGTAAGTGACTTAGCCTTGTGTAAAAACTTGATGGATACCCAGCATTAGATAGGTAGTAGCTACTCTGGAAACAATTGAATAATTCTAATTAAACTAATTTTATTGAATCATCAATTATTGAACAATTCTTGTTATTTGTTGAACCAATCCTACTTGCTTGACTTACATATTTCAAATAGGTTTTAATTTGAAAACCTGGCTGTCCCCATTGTGGACCCAGCTAAATCCAAAATGGACATGACTAAAAATAAAGTTCCTCTTAGTTCCCAAAGGGCAGAAAAAATCAAAAAAAGAAGAATTACACTATATTCAGACATAACCATTCATCCATCATCAATAATTGCATGAAAACATCAATTCATTGTCAGTTTTAAAGTGATCACACAGCACTACACAAAACCAACAGAACACAAACCATGCGCCACACATTACTAAAACCAGGGGTTTCCAACATTTTTTGTACATTAACTCCTTTTAAGAAATTTTTTTTCTATCCATTCAATATTACATACATTAATATTATACAATATTTTACAAGATGTTCAAATGAAAATAACTCAAGTTTAATTCACTATAAAAACTAAATGGTTTAAGATATATAAAAGCAACAAGTGGCATGTGATGGGAAAACTCATCAAGTTTAATAGAGATTTTTTTTTGTACTGCAAGATGAGCATTATTATCAAATGCTCATCTTGTAAGTCAAATGGTGAGCATTATTATCCAATCGTGGCTTCACCACAGTAGAAAGCACAGGTTGTGATCTGGTATGCCCAACAGTGTGATTGCCAAGATCTACCAATCCAACCCCCTCTAGCTATGGAGTTACGTAAAAGATATGGTTTATGCAACTTTGTTTGGAGATCTTCGGGGTTTTCGAGAGTGCATCGTGGTAGCCATCACCACCACACTGCGAGACAGGACACACCGCACAGTATATAGCAGGAAATTGCCTAACATCTCCACGACATCACTACGACTGTGTTGCCTCAGGGTGTAAGCATACTTTTCTTTTATTGTATTGTACATATTCTTAGTTTAAACAGCTGTAGTATAATATACAAAATACATGATTAATTGTAACCCTCATCTTTGACTAACGTAACTACTTTCTATTTCTTGTGATTTTATGTACCTTCCTGTATATATTTATTAAATTTTATCTTACCTTATTCTATTTATCTATTTTTACTGCTGCAATCTCACTATAGAAATCAAACACATACACTGCATGGGTGTGTTACTTTGCCTTGCAACTGTACATATTTCTACAATCTGTTACACAGAATATTATGCATCACAGCTATGACGTCGATCACGCAATACTCTAACATAACAAAATAAAAAATACTAACATATCTGAAACTATACTTATGTGCTCTACTACTATAATATGTCCATATCCTACTTCAGTAGCGTACAACCCCATATATATCATACACTCTGCCCAGTTACGCCATGCAAAACCAGGCACATACTTTATACTTAATAAAGATATATAAATGTGACAACTGGAGTACACATAGAGATGTGATTTTTCAATGAAATTTGAGTTTTTCTCTCAAATAAAATCTGGTAAACTTATATCTTTAATCATTAATTTTTTATAGCTAAACAAAATTGGACAGTTTTGGCCAGAACTTTACATATTACAATTATATATATATACTGTATTACATATAAAAGTACAAGCAACAGCGTCCTACATACTTTAAATCCATCTTCCCACATTTACTCGAGAGCAAAACAAATACATAAAAGTTTTAATATACGTAAATAAATTTTTCATATTTGCAAAGTTTTATGGACCGCCAAGGGGTCGATACTAACCCCGACCAAAGGCACGTCCACATAAGAACGGGCAGTGCATGCACCACGACACCCACGGCCTACAATTCTTATTTAAATTTTTCAATTCAAATCAGAACATATTCGGGTATAAACAGACAAGTCGGGACATTCCGGGAAAAACGTTTCGAACGGGATAGCATTCCAAATCATCCAGAAACTAATCTTCTTTTTCTACAGATTTTTTTCAGATGTCAACTAGAAACAACTTTATAATGTTTATATAATATATGTTTAGTATAAATATTAATTTTTTTAATGATGTACTACGTAACATTCATCCCGCACACACGGGGTGGGTGCTATATAGCTATATTCTTAAACAACCTTGAACTGGCAACATATCTCGCATCCCACATCATATATTTTTAATCTGTCTTGAAAAAAAAACACAATAATTTTAAAAGTCATTTTAAAATGTTCCAATTTTCATTTATTTTTGAAAATCATTAAGTCCTGTAGGCAACACATTTTGGAGAATGATAATTTAACTCCTAGAACCACAGTTTTGCGATTTACAATCATAGTGTGTGCCAATAATGTCCGAAAGGAATAAAAGATTACTTAATATTGCATTAAGACGACTTAAAGAGTTAACCAATAAACTGTTAAGTGACCATAATAATATAGGAAATAGACATTACCGGCTTCGTAGACGACGGATCCGGGCTTCAAATCGAGTCCGAGGACTATGAGACTGATGTCGGGAGTGTATAATATTTGAGTCCTGTGGGGAAGAGTCACCGTCCACAATTCCGGAGTGGGAAACAAAACGTACACCCAACCGCGCGTGCAATTAACGCGACAGCCGTAACGAGATCCGATGACATCGTCGTGTTTCAACGCTCCGTATTTCGTTTGAAATACCTTCCCTTTAGAGGTTCGTATGGAGTAGATATTTTGAACGCTTAAATACACGATGACAGTATCGCCTTCTTCTACAAACTCCTTTCTCTTCAGGAAACTCATCGCTTCCTTCGGACGTACACAAAACCACGTGTATTTGTCGACTTAACACCCTCTAGTGTCAATTTTTCATTTCGTATTTCTTTACTTTTTTCGGTGCAAATTCTCCGATTAAAAATTAAAATCTTTATTTATTTTTTTTTTTTCCGAAATTTCCGCATTTTTTTATATTCAAACGTTACAAATATAAATTATCTTCGGGAGAATTTAATTTATCTCTGGTAGATGAATTCGATTCGCACACTTCAATAAATAGTCTCTCCAAAGTCTTTTTCTAAATAATTTTTCAAAAAAACCAGGAAGGCGGTTCGATTTTTTAAAACTCTTTCCATTCCGCCAGCACCGAAAGACCTTTTAAGCAAACGAAATGCCTAAATCCGGTCCCGTGTCGCGTGCATCGCCTTTAGTGTAAACACGGAGGAAAGGTTTAAAAACCGGAGGGCTTACTCACGCCGTGGTAAATATTTTTACGGAAATATCCTGCGTTAGTATGGCGCTTCTGGTGAGAAATCGACATATTAGAAACATTTTTTAATGGATCTACAAAGGAAATAAAACATATAAACTGTTTTCACTCTATGGATACTAAAAGAGCCTTTTTCCAACCCAATCCTTTTCTAATATGGCCCACTCCTAACGCGGGCAGCCGGGTGAAGAAGGATGGAAGTGAACCGATCCGGGTAGATTCGCTCACCAAAATTTTTGAATTGATGGGGACGCGAACCCGGATCTGCAGAACGACAGCCTGGCGCTTTTAGTCTCGCTCAGCCCACCGTCGATTTTCCACATTAAGTTGGATATAAAACATTATCTAACAAAAATTACAATCGAAATTGAAAAAATTAAACTAGTATACTTTGTTCTACTTTACGAACGTACCCATAATCACGAACGTCCCCAGAGGGGGACAAACGGGCCACTCGCCATCCTTTAGGACCGAGTAAAAAATACGAAATAAAATATCGGTAACTCCGCGCGCGTTTGATTTTATTTATCGGAAGGATGTTAAAGATCGAGTGAGAATAGGCTCTAATCTTTTTGTTCTTTCACGCTGTTTAGCCCCCAGAAAATATTATTCGAATATCCAGCGAAATCGACACGGATTACGGTATATTCGAGACTTTATTATATGTAAAGGATGTCGAAGGACAGATTGCCATTCTTCTAGTTCGGAGGTGGCTAACCTATGGCACGCGTTTAAAATGGGTACCTAGGGAGAAATCATCTGGCAAGAATTGTACGGTATTATACGATTTGGTTTATCATCTGTTTTTTTTTTCAATAACCCGATCATCCTTTTTTCAGACAGCTTTACATATATTTCAATTAAACATATTCGTTTCATTTCTGTAAATATCGTTATTGCGAGTCAACTTCGGCACGCGTAAACATTTTTGATAATAATTACGCTGGCTATGTGACAGGCACCGATTCAAAGAGGTTCTCCATCCCTGTTCTAGTTCAAATATCCCGTAAAAATCTAAACGATTCCTCGATTTTGCCTGCAGAATTCGAGTTATATATTTATGAGGCTCCGTGCAAATTTGAATTAGAGGCTCCACGTAAGTGTTGACTTCAAACATTTTTACTCGGGGAATTTTCCCTAGTATCCTCGTTCGTTTTTTAACGCGACCTTGGCGCTGCGCCATCGCACCCTGCCCCCGCGCCACACCGACGATCTAGCGTCCCCAGATATGGCCTATATTTAAATTTAGTAATAGTGGACTGGTTAAAGAGGCTCACGAGGCAAAGTTAAAAAAATTATAGTCATATTCTTGAACCTTCTACAGAAGAGCGATGGTCCTGACGAGTGGACCCTCCTATAAGAGTGACGATTGCTCCTGATATAAGATATGACTAACATAAAATGTAATTTGTATAATATACGATAAAAGAGCCTAAATTCTGATAAATGTCGGAGCAACAAGCGGGCCAACGCTTCCAGAGGAGGACATAATAGCCACACGCGCTGGCTACGGGACACTGCGCATACCGTCCAGTCTAACAATTCCAATGTAATTCTTCTTAACCAGACTAGTCAAGCACCTCCAGAGGAATCAGCTGATTTAATCCGTTATATAAGGGTTGGGAAATAATAGATTTCGATCATTTTAATGTATTTACACCCAATTTGACGGGTCTTAAAAGTAGAGACGCGGTGGCAACTGTACCGTACGCGGCGAGAAAGAAACAACAAAATCTATTTTAAACGTAACTTTATTTCACAAGCAAATATCATTCCGACATCAAAAGTATGTACAATTTTTCATTTCTTTATTTTTAGAACTCGATATAAGTTTTGAAAAATATTTCTGAGCACCTTTCTTTATTCAATTTACATAAAATTCTTTATATTTTTTTTATTTGGTTGCTTTCTGACGTACGTCAAAATCGATATACATTTCAATAGAATATATGAAACATTAACAATAACAGAATTATCACTAAGTATTTACAAGAGCCCTTTCGAGCCCTTGTTTTAACAAATCTTTAGATTACTTTCTCATAAATAAAAATAATATTTATATATATAATTTTTTTTTTAATCGATGTTTGTACAATGAGAAAAATAGAATTTCTACGAAAATAAAAATTACGCTAAGTTTATCGGACCAGTTTTTTTATTTATTCCTCCCGATTTTTTGCTGCCAATATTGATCTTTATCGATCGGAAACTGGAGATTTGGCAAGTGTTTAACCGCGAGTATTTATGGTTTAACAAAAGATATTTACGAACAGGAATGATTTTAACGTAATAAAAAGACTGAATCATTATTAACTATTATTTTATAATAGTTAAAAACGACGTTAAGACCGGGGTATCTCGATTTAAGCTTGTAGTTTTTGTAGGGTGCGGGAATTTTCCGTGTTAATTACACGTAACAGAAGAATAAAATTCCGAGGCAAACGAATCGAAAAAAATCAATGGATGGCAGCAAAAAATTCTTGTCCGATAGACATTTTTTTGATTTCAATTTGAAGAGATTTCACTCGCTCGACATTTTGATATTATATTTTAGGATATTTTTTAAAAATGTATTTGAAAATATACGTGACGTAGAAGAAACGGCGACACTTCCTTAACTATTCAAAATAGTTTTTTTTTTTTTTTGTTTTTTCCACGAATATTTTACGTACATCGATGGAAACGAAAGGAAAACTAAGGGAGGTCGGCCGACGATCTACCACTCTCGTCCTCTTAAAATTCGCTGGCGATGAGGAAAAGAAAGACCCGCCAAAAATCGGGTCATATCCTTCCTCCCTCGTGCCACTTCTCTTCACCAATATTTTTATATCGATATTCGTTTTTATTATTCGGCTTAAAAATTCCCTCGATTTGTATAGAATTTCGAATTATTTCCGGGGGGGGACGAGGAAGAAATCGAATTGTCGCGTGTTCTAAATGATCACCCGTTTATTTGCATAGCTAATTACGTATTCCACATTTAATAAATTCTTCTTTAATAAGTTTTTGAAGTGGGAAGTAAAAAGTTAAGTTCGAAAGAGGGATAAAAAGGGTTAAAATCGCGAAATCTGCCAAACCAACCCGGGCTTAAGAATTTCGGAAATCGTTACGTTAACCCGTTTATAACGTTCCGTGTAAATTTATACAAATATCTTTCGTCTTCCCAACTGTAAATAACCACGCAATCGACTGTCGGTTCCCTTTTTTCGAAAATTCTAAATCGATGATACGGTAGGGATTAATCCCTACCGTACCACTTTTTATTCCTTATTTTTCTAAAGGTTTCTTTCGTTAATGGAAAAACTGGGCAGATTCTTAGAGAATTATTCTTAAATCTAGAAATATTATAAGAAATCTATTCGTATCCATCAAGAAATCGAACTGGTTTGTACGTTTTTGTTACGAATACGTTTAAAGAACGATTAAAATCGCGTGTATTTTTTTTTTTTTTTGGATTTCTGACGTCAAAATTTCGATAGAAGATAGAACAAACACTTCAGGGTGGACTCTATAACGACTACTCGAAAAAACTCCGTCGTTAAGAAATATTTTTGAATCTTACGATAAGTAATTTCAGGTCTCCGTTTAAGGAAAATATTGCATCCTGCTCCGGATACAACCATCGCAATTTTAACGTGTACCATTGCCAGTACTTAATTAATTAATCGGCGACGGCGGCTCTACTCCTAGAAAAACCCTTTCTCTTGTAGCAGTAACTTAGAAAGTAAGTTTAGAAAAATGAAAATCGACGAGTCTCGTTTATTTCGTAGCTTTGATAATACGTTATATCGGGGACTCGGTAGCCAAGATACACCTCGAACAAACGCAAGAATAGAAAAAAACGAATATAAATCTCGTTATAATAAGGCTTTCTTCTGTTTTTTTACCAGTAAAGATTTTAAATTTCCAAAATTATCAAAGTACAGTTTGCCTCTTCCTCCTCCTATTCCTATTCTGTGTGTTTTTCTTACGAACCATAAACGTTGAGCCTCGGTAGAATACACATAAATATAAAAAAGAATTAAAAAATTAATTTTTCTTTCGTAATAATTACGCGGTTTCGCGCCTCGACGAATATTTCGAAGGGATAATCGAATGTAGCCATTTAGTCGCCGTCGCCAATTCTGTACAAGAAAACATTCTTTTAAATACATGAAGTCTGTTAAAAGTATAAAAAAGAATATCGAACCCGGAAGAGAGAGAAGAATTCACTATTATTAACCAATGCTTCAAGAAAGGAAAAAGAAAGTTACCGTGGACCAGTAACCCGCTACTAGTTCTTAAATAATTTAAAATGTTTAGATTTAAGTATTGTTAATCCTTAATGGAAATTAATGGGGAGGGTTTAAATAAAGGTTATTGCATAGAAAAATATAATTATTAAAGGAACACTCTTCGTTCATTCTCTCTCTCTCTCTCTCTCTCACTCGACTATGAGAAAGTGTAACCCGGGGCGACACTCGTTCGTCGTGCCTGACAAACCCTGCCTACGACTCTAATTAAAACTATTATATGTATATATATAATATATATATTACAACAGATATAACACAAGACGTTAGATAACTGTACACAATAAAATATTTGGTTCGCACGAATAACGACGTTTTGTTACCAATATTGATTCGATATTCACAACTTAACTGGATGGGAATCGACTATACAGGGCTGACACTTGCTCCTTCACAATTGCCTGTTGCTCGTTCCGTTCTCGCTCTCAGACGACAGCTTTATCTCCACCGTCGGCAAAGGAAATTCTACAAAATACAAGAGGCATTGTTATTAGTTACGTCACCATACACCTCGAAATGTTTTCGTCACAATATATACAAGGAATCTCAAATATCCGTTTTAGAGAATCTGCGGAATTTTCATCTTCGCGGTAACCCCAATAATAATTTCGTTATACGTGTGAAGAAAACCCGAAAACTCCACGTGGCCAGCCGGTTGGTGGGTGCCAACCCGCGATTTAGCGGTTTTATCCACTCGGGCACTCCTGGGCTAATAATAAATTGCATCGCTCCGCTTCCAGAGCACTTCTAGCGATGGCACTCTTTATAAAGTTTTTGGTTTGTTCAAAAAACAAAAGGAAGCCTCGCTTTACCCGGACCCATAGGAGCTTTCGACGGCCCAGAGAATAACTTACTACAAATCAAGTAATTTAAAATAAAAATATTCTTACCGAATCCTTCCAATAATCTAGTGGGCGAGAGTGGAACGGAGCTTCGCAAATCTAAGCTTTCCAACTGTCTTCCCAGTTTGAGATTGAGGGCGCTGGGTCTCTGGATTTTTTTGGGTGCCATGGGCAGAGCGGGTGTACTCATTCGCCTATCCATGCAGATACCCGACGATTCCATGGGTTCCGGAAGAAGAAAGGTGATCCTCTTTTTCGTGACGTTCTCTTTTTCGGATTCGTCTTCGCTTCCCTGAGACGACGACGAAGGACTGGCGCCCAAATCCTCGAAGTTTATGGTCTTCTTTACTCGGAACCTGTGATTGACGTCGCTCAAAGATCTCTGGTAATTTTCTATTCTCTTGTCGCGCTTCTTCTCGTTGATGGCGTTGTTGGCGCTCTCCGACGGACCTCCCTCCGAATTCCCGTTGAAGCCACGAGAGGAACCGTTGATGGTCTCTCCTTTATACGTCGTGACTCGAGTTATAGAGAATCTGTGACTGTTAAGTTTGTTCGTTTGTTCGGTGTCCTGCGGAAGCGAATGCGATCTTTTCAATTTCTCCTCCTCGTTGGTCACGTCCGAATTCTGCACCCGAAGAGACGGATCCAAAGCAATGATCCCGTTTCTTAGAGGGAATTTCGACTTGATGGTGGACGTGCTGGTCAACGACAGTTTCTCCAACTGTTGAAGCGGACTTCCGGCGGCGGGTGGAGGAGACTCCTTTCTATCTGCCTCCTCGTCCAGATACACCCTGCTGACTCGAAAACGAGATCCCGGACTCGGACTTCCCATGGGAGAAGGTTGATTTTCACGAGCGGGAGACTTGCTATTGATTTGAATGGGTTGAGAAACTGCATTGTTCTGATCGGATGGAATGATTTCTACCAAACCGCATTTGTTCTTATTGTTCTTAGGTATAATGATGGCGTCTTCGTTTTCGTAATAGTCGTACTTGTTATATCTGTTTATCTCCGACAGTTCTTCTTGTTCCGCTTTGTTTCTCTTACAGTATCCGGTTATCTCGTTTAATAATTTCTGGTTGTCCTGTACACCATCCGGAGCTTTCTATAAAATTCATACAAAAACACCTTTTATTAGACCATACTCGATCACAATAATGAATCGAATATTAAACTGTACAACGGAAAATAGACTAGAAACACCATCATCATCATCATCTATTTCTTATCCTATAGGCCTACTAACAGATATTACAGTAGACTCTTGCTAATCGGGTATGCCCCATAAAAACATCTCTTATTTATGTTTATTATTTTTTAAAATACATACAGTAAACTTATAACATTAACTTTAATAGATAATTAAACTTGCAATTACTGTATCCCTGAGCAAAATTTTGCAATAACAAAATACAGGTCAAAAAGAATCAGTACCGAGGGGCTACCGGAAGTGTCGTTCGTTGCCTTTAGTCCTACACACTGGGCAATCCGGCACACCTCTGTGCAGAGAATGGCCGGATTAACAAAAGTCTACTGTATTTAAGATATCAGTAAATATGCTGACCTATAACTAAAAATTCTTAGCAAAGTTTACAGTATTTTCATGCTTATAACCTGCAAAGAATTGCTAGAACGAAAATAAAACCCTGGCATAATCCCCCCACAGTATCCTTATGCCTGTGAGAATAGTCCTTGCTGCATAGGCATTAGTTTGTAACCGTAATTTAAAATTGAGATATAACCCGCCCCATTGTATAACACGCACCCATTTCCGAATTTGTACTTTAAACGCAGATATAAGTACGAAAAAATGGTATTAAGAATCTATAACTGGGCCATTCTGTGTATACTTTGAATCATTCTAAAACTATATAAATTATATAACCTTCCATTTTCTGAATTCCTTTGGTGATTTATTTAACAACTTTTCTGTTTATTCTTTAATAAATAACTTAACAATTTAGTTTTGACTGAATATATTTTATAAGTATTCTGTTTATAATAATAGATTCAATAGAATTGTTGTTACTTGGTGCAATGGTACACAGACTATGATTGTGACCTTAAAGTGATTTATCTTGCGGAAGAGTTGCAAGAAAAATTTCAAAAATAATAAAATATGATATAAAAACATAAAAAAAGTAAACAAATCAAGCCTCACACTAAGATACTGTCAGATAATTAGAACTAAAACAAAACTGCGGTTGTATCAAATTTCTATTTAAAAAAATGAAGAATTGACAGAAAAAAAGTTTGCAGAACACTGGCTTATTATATCTATTTGTTGACTATTCAAAATGCATTTTTTACAGAGTTTACTCGTCTATTTTTAATATGTTTTATATTTTATTCTCGAAGATTTTAAGAAAATTTGTTATTCAAATATGTATTTGTTGACAATTCTTTTTAATATCTCATTTTTTCCCAATTTATTTTATGATATATTTTATTGTTATTTTAGTTCAGTAATTTGTTCAGCGTAAAGGAATTTTTGACTTTCATCATTATGTTTTTTTCATAAATAAAAATATAGATATGTTTTAAAAATTTAATGCAGTATTTGAATATAATGAATGAGAATATTCAACCAAGATTAACAGAGGAGTGCCGAAGAGGGACGTATGACTAAGTGTTAACTGAGAAAGTGTGCTATGAACTCTTCTAACAAACAGTAAATAATAAAAAAAATTCAAATTTTCTATGAAAAGATAAATGTTAAAATAAAGTTGTTTTATTCATTATCTATGTATGCTATTAAGATACGCACAATTATATACATATACTGCATCAAGCACTGCAAATTCACACTACATCTCTGAAACTAATGAACTATTTTGTATAGTAATAAATTGATTCACATAATCTCGAATACTCTGTAAATATTGAACTTTTCTCAAAAAATAAAAATACTTTCACATAAATACACAAATTAAGTATCATCAGTTATATTCAGCATTTTAACTGTAGTTTTGATGCTTATCTTTGGAATTAGTTATTTTTATACAATTAGATTTATTTTCTTTATTTCCATTAACTAAAAGTTTCATTCGTACTAAACTACTAAATTTTAATCCATAAAAATTAAATAGCTTTACATGCCAAATACTACTAGGAAAAGATAATATACATTGCTGCCTGTCTGTGTTTTTAGTCATATTGATCATTATTAAATTTGGCATCATTAATTTAGGTGAATAGATATTCCCATTTGAAATTTGCATTCCTTTAAGTGGGGTCGACTGGGAGAAATTCCTTGAGCCTGAAATTTACAGGGACCCGGATATCATCCCACAATTTGATTTTTTACATGCTAATTACTACTAGAGCATTACTGTAATATATATAATGTTTAACAGTAACTACTGTTCTTTATTTTGTAAAAAAGTAATACAATAAATACATAAAAAAAATCAAATTTTAAAATAATTTATTAACTTGGAGCCCATGTAAATTTTCCCCCGGGTCTGATGACATCTCTTGATGTCCCTGCATGTTAAAGTTATAGGAGGTGCAAAATATTTTTGAGCACTACTCTCAGAAAAAATATATATATTTGCATTACTTACAGAAGTTTTCTCTTCACATGGATCCATATCTAGACGAGTAACACTGTGATTATGTTTCAAAGATAATGCCAAAGCCATCAATCCAGCAATTTGTACATTGTTCTCCCTTAAATCAATATGATTCACATGTTGATTGTCTGCTATATATTCAGCTAATGCAACAGCACCTGTTGAAAAACAATTTTTTAACTTATATTTAATTATATTAGGTATTCAAATTTATTATTCTTTCAGCAAAAATAATAGTAATTACAATTAAAACATAATATAAATAATACAAAAAACAACAATAATTTAAAAAGAGCTATTTAAAAAATACAGTTTAATAACAGACCATAATCTGATAATGAGTAATAGGGTAAAATGTTTTTATATCCCATTCCTTCTTTGTATTTATTAAAGGTAAGATACCTAGACACTAAAAATCATATAAATAGTTATAAAAATCATAACTGGTATGACTTTTATAACTATTTATGATTTTGTGTGTCTAGATGTCCTCGCTATACTAGTTATATGTGCATAGTAAAAGACAAATGATTACTGGATTATATTGAGATACTTTATTATGATTATTTTTAATTATCGTGGAAAAGTAGCCAATGTAATCCAGTAGTTGTTTGACTTATTACTAATATATTGAGTTTCAAGATGCATATGCATTATTAAAAGATCAAAGATAAATGAATTTTTTAGTATGAAAATTAGTATCTGAGCAAAGTTTTTTAAAACTGTATGCGCAGTATACTATGCACTTTCATTTATAAGTCTTCTTTATCCTTGCCTTTTCCCATGTTTATATAAGGTCAGCGTTTCCTTCTCTAATACGTTTCTTCCATTTCTCAGCATCAAGGGCTTCTTCTCTCTTAAGTCCCTCCTGGTTCAAGTCTTCTCCCACCTTATCTTTCCAATGCATCTTTGGTCTTCCTCTTTTCTTTTATTACCAGTTTTCCAATCTTCTTTCCAACATAATTGTCGCTTCTTTGCTCTATGTGGCCTCAACCTACATTCTTGCATATTTTTGCTAAAAGGGCCCCCTTAACAGAACATCTAAAAAAATCATTCCTTATTCTACCCTTCCTTGACACTTCACACATCCATCTATTTTCATTTATAAGTATTCATCTAAAAATATATGCTGTTTTATTGTTATAGTTAAAACAAAACAAATTCTCCAGTATTTTCAAATTTCTGAGTTCACTCTTCAAGATATAGAAAATTCATTCATTCAAACATAACAAGAAAGTTATGCTCAAATAAATTTGAATTTTCTGTGTATGTTTTATGCTTAGAAATCTTTGAGTCTCATATTGTTCATTTGGTTAAATTAACCTCAAAAGATGTTGATATAATGCATTTATATCATCTTTTATATATCAGAACTTTGCTTTTCTTATAATTTTTTCACAAACTGAAACATAAAGAAAAAATTCCGAAAAATTTGACATAAATGATGAAGTAAAGAATTACCACATCAACTGTAACAAAACATATCTTAAAAAAAGAACTTCAATAAATCTCTCACAAGTTGTCAGAATGCCATAACTTATGTCTAGAAAAAGTATAAAATGATACATTAGAAAAGGCATATTGATTCTCCAGCTGCATTCTAAAAAAATCTAGTCCATATATCTTCAAATAAAATGTTATCATTCAGTTTTCTTACTTCCAAAATTTACTATAAGTTTCCACTTACAATTAAATTTGTATATAACATAATTTCTCAACTTTTTTGTTTATACAATCCTCTATATTAACTGTTAAAAATTCCAATCATTCTGTGATCCTTACTGCATGGATATTTGCATTTTTAAAAATCGATTATAAATTTGATAACTTCATTAAAATTAAATTATTTGTGACCAACTTCAATTGGTTGAAAGTTGCAGCTTCTACATTGAAAAACACTGGTATATAACATTATTATTGCAATGTAATATATAACATAAATGAAATTATTAATGTTATATATTGATTTTAAATAATTATATATCTTTTTGCAATAAACAAAAATAATTTAATAATAATAATAATTTATATTGTTTATAACAAGCATTGTATGCTCCATAAAGAGTAAAATATCTGAAAAATTCTAAAGAAGTGCAACATTATTTAAGTTTCATGAGTTCTAAAATATTAATAATGTTGGCCTTTAATATAACAGACTAATAGATGGAAATAAGGATCTAATAGTACTGATTGTATACAAAGATGTTATGATCAACTACAAAATAAATTTTATATTGTGGCGATACATCATATTACTGTATATGTTTTGATATAAGTTTAGTTTTAAGTTTTCTTTCTTCTTTGTTTCCCCTTTTGTTTTCTCAAATTTTCGACTAACATTCTTTCCTGTGAGTGAGGTAACCCTTTCTAAGAACCACATTGACAATGGGAAGTGAGAGCCCCAAGCTACTATAATGGATAAGAAGTGTCATTCTTGGGTCGGACTCTCGGTGAAGGCGGACGTGTGAAAGTCACCCTCCTGCTCATCATCTAGAAGAACAAAGGGAGATGAAAGTGGCCTGCAGAGGACAAAAGACCCTGTAACGTAAAGACAGAGAGATGAACGTCTCTTGTATAAGGAGGATCATTGAATAGATCCAATTAAAGATCATCAAGAAATGAATTATAGTGGTTCCCCACCAGAAGAGCATCAATACTAACCAGAAAACCCAGGTATTCCTTATAACCTCTTCTTCTATCATACTAAAACTTTTTGTTAATCTTCCTTTCCTCTGTTAGTTTATAATTTAGTATAAGTATTAGTGGTAAGATTATATGTCCATCTTTTCTTAATTGTCATGAGTGGGTTCCTTGCTTTGTATTTACTTGATTCCTTGCATCTATTTTTGGATATTCTGTAACACTCAAGAGTTGGAATCCATAAAAGAATCCTGTATATTACTATTCACGTGCCAATAAATAAATAATTGTTGTTATTTATTTGTGTACTTTCTTTCTTTCTTTCGTACACTTGCGTGATTCTAACAATATGATATATAAGGAGACAAACAGAGAACTACAGAATACTGTAAATCTGTTTGACTAGAATAGAATAAACTATAACTTTTAATCCGAAAATTAATTATAATTAACTAATAAATGTTTTGTGCACATTTAAGATGCAAACACCTTTTTATTGTGTTAAATGCAAGTAAAACCAACATCATGCTTCTAAGCAAAGATGTAAACAACAGCTGTCAATGCATTACTTAGTGAACATTTTTCATCCTGATATTCTCAAATAATGCACATTCAAATCTTAATACATCATCTTCCTAAATAGTAAAACTCTTGCAAGGACAGATTTAGCAGCTGCATGGGGTGCAGCTGCATTCTCCTTCTGGGGGTTTTTCTTTACTGTAGCTTGTTACTTCAGATAATAAAAAATTTTGAACAGAATATTGTTTCCTTTCTGCACCCTTTTAAAGATCTCTGAATCTGCTATTGCACCCTTGTTAAATGCCAATGTATACTTTTGAATGGATCTTATCCATAGATATTAAACAGTATTTGTGAACAATTTTGTATGATTTTCATTGCACACAATATTGTAAATAAGTGAGTAGAATCTAAGTGGAGAAATAAACAAAAGAAACAGTGCATCTTGTAACTCCAGCAGTAAATTTAATAAATCGTAACGGTTTTGACCTAATACCATAAGTCGAAAACTTCCTCGTTGAAGTACATCATTTAAAATAAAATGAACATAAGCATATTGAATTCAACGGAAATAATTTAAAATTAAAAGGTGTTCTAAAGAAAACACTCTTACAGAAAAAATTAAAATTAACAATTAATTGCAAATAATAGAAATAAGAATAAAAATAAAGATTAACAAAAATAATTATTAGAGGACCAAGTCCAGGTAATATTTCATACAAGGACTTTCATGCCTTAGGTAAAGTGTCAGCATCCCTATGATTAATACAAAATAGTTTTTGGTTGGCTTTAAAAATTTTTAACATTTCTAAGAACTAACAGCATTAGGGTTCTTAACAGGACTAATGATTCTGGCTTCATCTCATTTTGGTGTACTTCATTGAGGACGGCCTATGGTATTTGGTTGAAAATATTACGATCTATTAAATACTGTATACTTCTGGAGTTACAAAATGCACTGTTTCTTTTGTTTTTTTTAAACAATATTGTAACCAACAAATCATGTGACTTTCAAACTCAAACTTCTCTGTAGACTTCATTATAATCAAATCAAAAAACATCAAACAGTAAGACCTTAGGGTCATTCAAATATGATGTCATCAATTTTAAGTCCTTTTTAACTACCTACCTTTTTCAACATTGTACTAAATAACTTGTAGACTAAAGTTAATATATTATATTCTGGTATATCTTTATTTGTAATCTGTATCATAAAGATTAAATAGTTGCCATTATCCTTTCATATTAAAAGTTCTACTAGGATGCTTCAAACAAAACATTGTTAGTACAGTGCTTCTACTATAGTGCAACCATTTAAATAAGCAAGAACTCACTGTATGATCATTAATCAAAATACTTCTGCATAATAATTTTGGTAAAAAAATTATTTCAAATAGGGAAATTTTTGATAATGTTTAGGACATCATTTTACTAATGCTTCACCATTCCCTGTCATAAGCTGTCACAAAATTTGTAAATATCACCATTCCCAATATGGATGTCTTTTTAAACAAAGAATCTTGAAACAATAAATGTTAAGTATACATAACTCTTATAAACAATGAATCCTTTGGTTTAGTGTTACACTCAATGTATACCAACTTCAGAGGAAAACAAATAATAATGCCAAACTGATGTTTGATCATATATCCATTATGAAAGCTGCCTTGGGTACAAGTGGATCCAGTTCATTGTTTCTGAAATCTGTTTTATTAGATCACTAAAATTTAGGATCAATAGTAGCAATAATCTAAAATAGAAAATGTGAAAATCATTATTATTTAACATTAAATGTTAAATAATAATGATTTTCACATTTACTATTGATTTTTTATCATCACATTTATTTGATATTTACTATCATATTTGCTATGATTTCCTTGTATTATTTAGTGTTATTTAACATTTAATGTTAAATAACACTAAATAATGACTGCATTTTGATTTTTATTGTTTTGGATATAATTACAACTTAAGAAAAAAAGTTTTCATAAACATTAATAAAATATAAGGATTTACCTTCACAAGTTATTTTACAGCATTGAATTCCAAGATGTTTCAATGTCTGACTATGAATTAATCCTTGTTTTATTTGATGTATTCCTTCATTACCAATGTTATTTTGTCCTACATTAAGTGTGGTCAAGCTTCTTGTTGTTAGCTAAAATAATTGAATAAATATTTTAATTAATTTTAATGCATATTGAATAATTTATTCTTTTTCATTATGTATATAGATTAAGAAACCTAATTTTTGTTAAAAACAGAATAATTAATATATGCATCAATATACCTAGAACATATGCATGTATATTATATGAGATTCTTGTTTTATCATCATCTAACTTTTGAAATGGACTGTGTATATAAATATATACAATCAGTGAACACTATACATCATAGTTGCCAACCTCTCTTTTTGGGCTGAGAATGACTCAGACTGACAAGCAGATAACTGCTTCCGAAAGCAGCAGTTATCTGCCTGTCAATCTGAGATAGAAAACCTCTGCTTTTTTGAAATAACATCTTTAATGTATTATCTTCACAAATATGGATTTATGACCAATTCAAAAAATACCAAGTTTATTTGTATGGTAGTTTTTAGAAATTGTCCACTGTCTAATATTAATATATTCTTTCACTTCAACGTTTCCAAATGCAAAGAAGAATTTCAATGGAAGCTTTAAATTTCTGATTCAATTGTAAAAAGTTAGCTTTTGATGTGAATACATCTTTAAATTTGCTTCCGTAGTGGGAGGTAATTCAGAAAATTGATGATAACAAAATCGGGGGGATACAGTTTGGCATTGCAGCTACATATCTATCATCTACATCCAAAATTTAATTACACCACTTGATAGTTAAAGGATGAAAGAATTCATTACGTTGAGTGGGGATGCATTGCGTGTGGTGGAGGGGAAGTGCCGCCATTTTGAGGGCATTTCGCCACATCACATACTTTCCGTTTAGTATACATTTTGACTTGGAGAAACTAAGATACTCGTTTCAGTTTCAATTTACAGTTCTCATCAATATTTATTGATTTTGCGTACACAAAACATTAGTGTGGAATAGTTATGGTGAATATATATGATGTTAAAATTAAACATTAAGGAAACTTAATACAATTCGAAAAGCCAAATCAAAATATAGAAATCGTATACGGTTGGAAAGGGCTTCTCAAGAGCAATCCAGTGATACCCGTAAAACACCATATGATAGAGTGAAGCAGTGCCAGGAACATAGAAAAACATGGAGATCCGGAGGACTTCTTACTGTTAAGGAATGATTATGACATACGTATAATATGCTCAGAGAAAATATCACCCGTTAATGTAAACATATTCACGTAAAACACACGGCCGTGTTCCCGACACAACTACACCCCACTTTTTTCTAAAAAAATTTCTGCATATAAAATTTGGACTCAAATATGATGAATGTACTATACAGTACAAGATCTTCCATTTTTCAGTACAAGAAAGTCAATTTGAAAACTTTTGTAAATCTCAGTCACATATCAAAATCACATTTTCTAGGCTTTAGGCTATAAGAAATTATTAATTTTTGTAATTTTTTATTGTATAGATAATTAAATTTTTATATAATACTTATTATGTTAATATTTAATCTTTAAGCCTTGAAAGCAATCTGTTTTCTATAAGATAACAGATTGCTTTTAAGGCTTAAAGCTTAAAAATTTCTATTTTTATACTTATTTTTTAATATTAATAGGAGGCATTAAATGGATATAAATGTCTTCTATATTGTTTAATTAATTTCTGAATTATTTATAGTATTTAGTTTTGAGTAATTTAACAAAAACAAAAATGTATTTCTATTACTGGAAACATATTAACAACTAATCACCAAACCTCTTCAGCATCCAGTAAAACGTGAAAGATGAAACAAATCACAAATGTTTTCAAAATCCATCTGATTCCAGCTCTAAAAACATTTGTGATTTGTTTCATCTTTCACGTTTTACTGGATGCTGAATAGGTTCTGTAGTAGGTTCTAAGTAATTATTTAATTATTTTTAAATTAAATATGATTTTAATTTTAAACAAAAGAAACATTACCAATATACGATTGATATGCTGCATTCCAATTTGAGTTATGTGATTATTCCAAAGTACTAAAGTTTTTAATCCATCTCCATTATTTGTTATTTGTTGACATAATCCATCTGCCAAATGACAAATTCCCAAATCCTAAAGAAAAAATNTCTTCAGGAAACTCATCGCTTCCTTCGGACGTACACAAAACCACGTGTATTTGTCGACTTAACACCCTCTAGTGTCAATTTTTCATTTCGTATTTCTTTACTTTTTTCGGTGCAAATTCTCCGATTAAAAATTAAAATCTTTATTTATTTATTTTTTTCCGAAATTTCCGCATTTTTTATATTCAAACGTTACAAATATAAATTATCTTCGGGAGAATTTAATTTATCTCTGGTAGATGAATTCGATTCGCACACTTCAATAAATAGTCTCTCCAAAGTCTTTTTCTAAATAATTTTTCAAAAAAACCAGGAAGGCGGTTCGATTTTTTAAAACTCTTTCCATTCCGCCAGCACCGAAAGACCTTTTAAGCAAACGAAATGCCTAAATCCGGTCCCGTGTCGCGTGCATCGCCTTTAGTGTAAACACGGAGGAAAAGGTTTAAAAACCGGAGGGCTTACTCACGCCGTGGTAAATATTTTTACGGAAATATCCTGCGTTAGTATGTCGCTTCTGGTGAGAAATCGACATATTAGAAACATTTTTTAATGGATCTACAAAGGAAATAAAACATATAAACTGTTTTCACTCTATGGATACTAAAAGAGCCTTTTTCCAACCCAATTCTTTTCTAATATGGCCCACTCCTAACGCGGGCAGCCGGGTGAAGAAGGATGGAAGTGAACCGATCCGGGTAGATTCGCTCACCAAAATTTTTGAATTGATGGGGACGCGAACCCGGATCTGCAGAACGACAGCCTGGCGTTTTTAGTCTCGCTCAGCCCACCGTCGATTTTCCACATTAAGTTGGATATAAAACATTATCTAACAAAAATTACAATCGAAATTGAAAAAATTAAACTAGTATACTTTGTTCTACTTTACGAACGTACCCATAATCACGAACGTCCCCAGAGGGGGACAAACGGGCCACCCGCCATCCTTTAGGACCGAGTAAAAAATACGAAATAAAATATCGGTAACTCCGCGCGCGTTTGATTTTATTTATCGGAAGGATGTTAAAGATCGAGTGAGAATAGGCTCTAATCTTTTTGTTCTTTCACGCTGTTTAGCCCCCAGAAAATATTATTCGAATATCCAGCGAAATCGACACGGATTACGGTATATTCGAGACTTTATTATATGTAAAGGATGTCGAAGGACAGATTGCCATTCTTCTAGTTCGGAGGTGGCTAACCTATGGCACGCGTTTAAAATGGGTACCTAGGGAGAAATCATCTGGCAAGAATTGTACGGTATTATACGATTTGGTTTATCATCTGTTTTTTTTCAATAACCCGATCATCCTTTTTTCAGACAGCTTTACATATATTTCAATTAAACATATTCGTTTCATTTCTGTAAATATCGTTATTGCGAGTCAACTTCGGCACGCGTAAACATTTTTGATAATAATTACGCTGGCTATGTGACAGGCACCGATTCAAAGAGGTTCTCCATCCCTGTTCTAGTTCAAATATCCCGTAAAAATCTAAACGATTCCTCGATTTTGCCTGCAGAATTCGAGTTATATATTTATGAGGCTCCGTGCAAATTTGAATTAGAGGCTCCACGTAAGTGTTGACTTCAAACATTTTTACTCGGGGAATTTTCCCTAGTATCCTCGTTCGTTTTTTAACGCGACCTTGGCGCTGCGCCATCGCACCCTGCCCCCGCGCCACACCGACGATCTAGCGTCCCCAGATATGGCCTATATTTAAATTTAGTAATAGTGGACTGGTTAAAGAGGCTCACGAGGCAAAGTTAAAAAAATTATAGTCATATTCTTGAACCTTCTACAGAAGAGCGATGGTCCTGACGAGTGGACCCTCCTATAAGAGTGACGATTGCTCCTGATATAAGATATGACTAACATAAAATGTAATTTGTATAAGATACGATAAAAGAGCCTAAATTCTGATAAATGTCGGAGCAACAAGCGGGCCAACGCTTCCAGAGGAGGACATAATAGCCACACGCGCTGGCTACGGGACACTGCGCATACCGTCCAGTCTAACAATTCCAATGTAATTCTTCTTAACCAGACTAGTCAAGCACCTCCAGAGGAATCAGCTGATTTAATCCGTTATATAAGGGTTGGGAAATAATAGATTTCGATCATTTTAATGTATTTACCTTGTAACATTGAATGAAAGAATTAATTATAAGAATAGTGTCATTATTTAACTTTTAAATCTTTTCGTAGAATTGAAACAAGTTAGCAGTGAAAATTTTAATTCAACAATTTAAAAAATGAAAATTAGCATTCAAGAATGATGCAAACATTATGAATTTAAACAATGTGGCCATCAAACATTTAGTAGAAATGACTGTGCTAGAGTGAGGTCTTATGATCTCCTGCATTAATATATTCCTTCTAGTTTTTACTTGTGGATTACACACAACTTGACAAATTTAGTACAAAAAAATCTTTGTAATTTCTCCTTTAAAATTAGCAAAAGCTTCCAAATTCATGTTGCTTGTCTCTTTTATAACATTTCTTGTAAATTCATTGAGGTCTTAATATTATTTTTCATTTTAAAATAATCAAATTTATATTTTTACACTTATTATGTTTTATTAATTAAATTAAAACATTTAATCTCAAAGATATTCTTACGTATTTTATTATAATTCTTATATTATTTTGAACTATTATCTAAATATCTGATATCTCAAAATATATTACAAATTTGCTTAAAACTTTCTCCATAAATATGATATATGATATATAATTTCAATTAATTTCAGGTATTGAAATATTGTACAGTATATAAAAATAATAAATATTTTTTACATGCATTTTCATTTTCAGTAGTTTCAAGTATTGAAAACACCAAATTTCACAGTTTTCCATACGTAATAATTACGGCACAGCTACTCTAACTTAAACTCGGATGGCTGATATGGTTAATGAATCAGCCTACTGCTTTGAAGGATCCACCATTGAATCCGGGAAAGCCACCCCGGTGGCAAGCCTGCTCTTGCTCCCAGAATTTCTTGTGTATAGTAAGTATCACATATATATATATATATATTGAGCCCCATTCCTCACCATCCATTTGTCCTCGTGTCAAGTCAAATCTTACATGTTTACGCAAAGCATGTCATTTTCATTTTTCTTGAAGGATGTTTACTACTAAAATATAGGCCTATTGCATGTGGATGTATGGACTGCATATACTGCGAAACCTCAATTTAGATCCATCATTTGTTCATCTCTGATACTGGCATAAAATTGAGTGTAGACGTAAACCTAGTATTTTAAAAAATAACAATTATGTGTAGTAATACAATATGTCACATATTTTGAATTTGAGGATTGAATGTTACATGATTTAACATTAACAATGTTATTTGCAATGCGAAAATGTAATTTGGTAACTCACATATAGACTATTTATTATAAAAGTCCATTTTTAATTCAAAATCCATTTTATAATATTTATAAAAGCAGTAAAAGTTTCCATATTTATTTTTTAATTTTCTCCCAGCTACTATTATGAGGGCACAGAAAAATATTATGCTCAAAAGGGGCCAAAGATCAAAAAATGTTGAGAAACACTGGTCTAAAGGTACTTGAGTTTTCAAAAAGTTTTCACTCCAAGAAAAGCAGGTGAAAATGAAAATCACTAAATTAATTATAATAAAAAGAAAAAATAAATCATAATAAAGAAAATTATTAGTTTTTAATTAACAGTTTTAATGTTCTTTTTGAATATTGATTTGGAAATAACTGTATCCGATTATTAACAACAGCATTCCATATTGCTAATATTTGTGTACTTTCAGTTTTGTCTATAACAAGAAATTAGATATTGTACTCTAATTTGATCTCATAATTCCTGTATCTTAACATTTGAGGCATTCATACTAATCCTTAATATTTGAACAAACTCATAACTTACAACAAAGATTATTTCCTTTTTGAATTTTTATAATTAAAATTAAAACATAAATATAATTTTTTTCAATAAAGCTGTTTAATATAATTAATTAATTAACAAAATATACTAAAAAGTAAAGGTTGTTTTTTAAAATATACATACTGTAATTCAAATTGTGATTTTTTCCATATAATTCAACATAAATGAATCTAACGTCTCTTGGTTATAAAACAGGAAGAGATGCAAAAATGCAGTTAAAAAACTGATCGTTCAGGGAAACAACTGAAGAAAATCATGACATAATTCTAGACATTCATGATAGATTATTATAAAAGATGATTAAGATGTAAATGGTGTGCTTGAATAAAACCAAGACTGATAGTGACAAGAATGCCAGAATCTATAAGAATTATTGAGTGGGATGTTTAGTTTACTGCTCATTGAATCCACCCTTTTGCAAGAATGAATCTGAAAGTATTTATTCTTGAAAAAGGGATTCATTTTGTGTGTTCATACCATTTTGAAAAAATGTCTCCAATACATCTATCTAAATTGCCTCTGATATTCAAACTGCCTTGAATACACTTGATTCTTGTCAGTTTTCTTGAATCCATCGTTTAAAATAAATTTATAGGGGAGGAACCATAGTTAGAATGAATGTTTTTGTTTTAAATAAGAGACAGAAATTAAAGATTTCTGTCTCTTATTAGCTTATACAATCATTTTAGTAACATATAAAGTGAACAATATAACAAGAATCTGTAAGTTCTTGTTTTATTGTTTATTTTATATGCTCCATTAATAAGAGAGTTTTAATTATAATAAAAACTGCTATCATATATTCTAAATATTATCTTCAAACTCACCGCTCGATTTCATTATGTTCCGCAAGGACGTCATGGCTTCCCAGGGTCTCGGCAGATCCAAAAACACCGCATCGGCCTTTTCTAATACGTCGAATCCGTCCGTACAGACGTCGCGTTGAGAAACGGAAATAATTTCCGACAGTCCGTGAGCATCGAATTCTTCCTTTGCCATATTAACACGCTGTTCGTGAAAATCAAACGTGTACAGATGACCATTTGGGGCTATTGTGCGGGCAATGGCATGGGATAGAGATCCACTACCGGTTCCTGAAACATTAGATACATTTTTATAATTTAATGCAATTTCCTTCAAATTTATTACAATAATTCTAATAGATATTACAAATTTTTAAATTAAAAAAATTTTATTATATTAATTAAATTATCTGCCTCATGGTTGTTGATAATTTAATTAATATAATCATGCCAAGGGCTAGAGAAGCAACTTTTGTAATAATTTTATATTTAGAATTTATTTAGAATGAACATATTTCATTAATGAAAATTTAAATTGAGTTCAAAATGCATAAAACAAAATTTCACATAACA